GGGGGGGAGCGCCAAGGCGCGAAACGCATGCAGTCACAGTCACATCCGCTACACACCACTACACACTGCTCCGCACGCACGCACGCACACACGCACGCACACACGCACGCACACACACACACACACTACAACACGTGCAGCACACGTGCCGGCGAGGTCGGCGGCAGCTGCACACGCTAGCTGCACAGCACACGCCGCAACGCCCGGAATAAGGTTCATCCGAAAATAACTCTCGGTTCCGCTCGCTCGGCCAGACGTTTCGCGCGCAGAACCGGCGCCGTGGTCGGCAGACTTTCATTTTCCCCTCCAGAGTGACTGTGCGTACTAACGGGACCTGTCTCCTCGAGAGAACACCCGCTGGCGCACCGCACGTCAACGGCAGATATACAATAAAAAATAATAATGTATTTATGGATGTTTGTCAATGGTGCCTCGTCAAGTCAGGCGCGGCACTTCTGGCGACGCGATTAAGGACGCCCCCCCTCCCCCTTTCCTGTGACAAGGCGGGGCCTTGAAAGGGAGACGACCATCACTGGCGTGGCGTGGCGGGCGCACCCACGGCACAGCCAGGGCGGGCCAGGCGGCCCCTGGAGTCAGTGACCCCAACCCTCTTCCCTGCGCCCGCTGCACTTCCTGCCAGGCGATAACGCCCTGTCCACGGCCCGAAGTCGTGGCCCTGCCACCCCTGTCCCCTACCAGGATGCACTCTAAAAGCACCGGCACAGCACACACACACACACACATCACACACCAGACGCCTGCTCACGAACACGAACGCACCTGAACGGCGATGGGACTCATGGTCCCCACTTGGCAATCAGTCTCGTCCAAACACAGTCACACACACAATCACCACACGGAGAGTAAATCCAGACGGTATCCAAAGGGAGTCGCAGTGTCCTTGCGTCGCAATCGTCACTAGGGGCGTCTCACTGAACACTAACCAGTTTGGCTTTGGGCTTGGCGGCGTTGGTCGCGGCGGACGCGGCGCCGTGGCCGGGCCGCAGGAGCACCGACACGGAGGAGGCCATGGCCGTAGGGGCGCGCGAGTACGCGTATCCACCCACACCAGAGGACCGGGGGCGGCACTCGCACACGCACATAACACGACGGGTGTTGCACGAGCAAGGCCTGCGCGGATGGGGCGGGCTGCTGCCTGGCTGTGGGCTGCTGAGAGCCGCTGTAGAGTGGCTCGGGGAGCTGAGCTGAGCTGTGGGTCGGGTCTGCTCGGCGGCGCGTTCAGCGGGTGACTGGCTGGCGGGGCCGTGCGCACGCTACTGCCCAGCCCACCGCACCGCCCGGCGGGGCGCGGCGGGGCGCGGCGGGCCGGGCCCCTTCGGCGGGGTGGGGGCCGCGGGGGCCGCAGGGGCCCAACGGGAGGGGGCGTCGTCGTGGTGGCCGGGGGAGGCTCTTGGGGTAGGCAGGGACCAGGACTCGCGTACCCGTACCACCGGGTACGGTGGCACTCGCGGGCACTCCCCTCGCCCGGGTGCGGGGTAGTATGACGCCGCGTAGCGCGGGGCCGGGGCCAGGCCAGAGGACTGGGGCCAGCGCCGCCTCTAGGTCACCAGGTATTTATAGGTGGCACGATGTCATCTTGATCCCTATTCTTCAACCATTGAACACTCCCCACGCTTGGGGACGGGGAGCCCTAGACCGCTCGACGCCCACCGCCCTCTTCGACTTGTTCTGTAACGTTAGGGTTCATCTCCAACCATCTCGGAAAATTATTCCAGCTTAACGTGGGGTGGAAGCGAAAGCGAAACGACTCAGACCTTCGTGTATAACGGATTACTCTTGGGTTACCCTGGATCACAACCTGATTACTCTCGGACTGCTGACAAACAAGGCTGTGTCTACTGGATTACCCTAGCCGCCCCCTCCCCCTTTCTAGGGGGCAGGGAACGAAGATCTCACAGAAAGCTTCGCTAGAGCGAATGGGTATGCTAGCCCGGGATGCAGGAGTGTGGCCGTGTTGCCTATTCGCACGGGGCCCCCTAACAGCGCTGTGGTAAGATTCGATAGGCAAACGCAAACCCAGCCGCCAGACCACACGCGGGCTGGACGAACGGCCTGGCCTCCCTGCTCTACGGACGCGAGCTCGTGTCAGCCCCCCAGCCCAGCGAGGCTCTCTGCCAATCAGCGCGCCGCCCCGACCAGCACAAGCACAACACTCTGTCGCGTGCGACACATGTTGCTCTCAAACAAGCTCTATCTGTTATCAAAGCCAACAAGACCACATTCTCAGAAGCACCACCTCTCTCCCTCTCACGCCGCGCGCCGCGGTGCCGCGCCCCTCCGTGTCCCTCGACGCCGTGCTTGGTCTCGCGCCCGCGGCGGCGCCCCCGGGCCGGGGCGGCGCACCTGAGGCGCAGACGGGTGAGCGAATGACCCTGCGCCTCTCGCAGTGTAGCCGCGCGTGCGTACGGGGAGGGGCGCGCACGCCGGGGAGGCGCGCGGCGTATCTCCCAGGGCGGTGCGAGAGGGACGGCGAGAGAAATTATTGCCGGCATGCCGGGGGTCTAGTCCGGCTGGTCCGGCCTTTTCCACCGCATAATTCGTGAGGGGCTGCCTAGGCCGGCCGATAAGAGAGGCAGTCGTCGCTTCCCTATCCCCATTCACAGACGGTCCAGCCCCGCCCGCGCGGTTTGTTGAACTCACTTCACTTTTTCACCGCGAGCCCGCGGCCCGGGATTGACGTCACAAATTGTCGCTCCTAGGAGCCTCGGCACCTCGTTGTTATTGTCGCCTTTAGCAAATAAGCTGAGCTTAATTAGTAGCCCGCCTACGCGACACGTGGCGGGTGGGCCGAAGGTCGGCGGCGGGCGGGGCGGGCAAGTTACTTTCAAATCCACTTTACTTCGCCGTAGTGTGGCGTCCGGGTAGCAGCAGCAGGCCCGGCAGGTGCCCGCCGGCAGGTGCCCCCATGGCGGCGGCGGCGGCGCCCCGCCCAGAGATAGCCGTGTCGCCATAACGTCCCACGGAGATTATATTGGCGCACTTTACCCCCTCTGGGGCCGGAGAGTGGCGGCGCGTAGCGCGCGGGGTGCAAACGAGAGAAAGGCCGCAGCACTTTTACTCGCCGCCAGTGCGGTGTGCGTCCGCTGTCCGCTGGAGCAGCAGAGATACGACGCGCAGCCGCAGCGCGGCCTTCACCGAGTGAGCCTCACCTCACGGGGGGCAGGGCGGCGCCCAGGGCGGCAACGAAGGGGGCCGAGGGCCCGGCGACACTCATTCACGATAAGGCGAAATAGGGTCGAGGGGGCGACGGCCTGTCGGCAAATGCACGCCGTGAGTGAGAGGAGTGCTGGCTGGCGGTGCCGTGTTGGTGGGCGGAGGGGGCGGCCCGGGCCGAGCCCTCCTCCTCCTCCTCTGGCCGTAGGTCAAGAGCAGCCGCCTCTAATTGAGCCCACTTTGACGCAATTAGAAGCGACCGTCTATCTCCGTCGCACTTGCGATATTCCCATCGTAATGAGCGGGGAGAGACGAGACGTTCCTCGCGGCCGGCCCGGCCGTCGCTCGTCGGGTCTCTTCACGGCTCGTTTGCCATCAGGGTGGATCGCAGGGCGGGCACACCGGCGGCCACTGCTGCGTGACACTCGGCGGCAGGCAGACTCCTTGACGGGGCTCCACTGACGTCACCAGGGGGCCCTCTGGAATGTGCTGCACGGCAGGGCGGACGACGGGTGGCATGGGGGCCGTCCTGCGCGCCCCCGACCACCGGGTGCCAGACCAAGAGCCCCGGACACACACTGCTCTGGAGGTCGCGAGGTCACAGTGACGGGATGGGGAGTCAGGCCACCTCTGCGCGCGATCCTGAGCCGAGCGCCGCGTTCGTCTTGCGAGGCCGCGCGTCGTGCGATTTGTCATCGTTACTAACACCGTCCATTATATGCTCATTATTTACGTCGCATTTTCGCGATGACTCGGCAGAAGCTATCGAACACATCGAACACCGTCCACACCGCACGCGGACGGGTCGCCCAGTTGAAATGGCCCCGGCTGCCGAGCCCGGGCAAGGCGGACCGCACACAGCTGCGGCCCGGATCAAGGGCATCCACGAAACACTCGACAAATCGCCGAATAAGCTTCCCGCACGTGCTTCTGCGGAGCACGGAGAGCACTGGGTCAACGGCCAGCCAGGCCAGGAGAACGCCCGCCCGACAGAGGACTCCTCCTCGGAGGGTCCTGCCGAGACCATTTGCGGCACCCCTTCATCGTTAGCGCCTGTTAATGTGTTTTGATTGGCGGGGCTGACGAAGCAGTCAGCGGTTGGCAGACATATTCAGTCCTTTAGGCCGGCCGGCAGTCATCATCGCAAGAGAGGTCACCTCATATTTCATTTGCTCTTTTATTTTTCGGGGCAGTTTTCTCGCAAAAACAAGTCGCTTGAAACAAACTGAAGAATAGAACTTGGCGCGACAAGGAGCGGATACGCACCGTCCTATAGACACCCGCCCAACAGGTTTCTCCTCCCCAGGTATTCTATTGTCAGTCGGGATTCGTCCCCAGGCTGCTCTACGCGTTGGATCTCGCTCGAGCGGTGGCCCCTGGTGGGGCGGCACACAGTTTCCCGTTTCCGACAAACCCGCAGACCTTCAGCTGCAATGTTTTTTCAGTTTGCTGTTTTTTATCGTCATTATTTGTTTAACGTTTTTAGGATTAGTCTAATGTTGAACAATTCACGGCGTTCACCGTGGCCTGCGATGCGTAAAGACCCAGCCACATCTCCGCCCAGTCCTACCCTTCTTCAACTTCAACTTCAAAAAGGGTTATAACGACTGCTTGTTCACCCGCCCAGCTGGAGCCCACCGTGCACAAGCCCAAACCCTTCCCCAGCAGCGCACGTGCGCACAGTTTCAGCTCGCAAAAAACTGGATGGAGGCCCTTCGCTGCTGTGAATAGCGCCCAAGCGACCCAAGAAACAAGCGAACTGCTCCACGTGCGCGAGTAAGCAGTAAGCGGCACCTACGGCAAAAAGTGCGAACCCGACTGTTGCCAACGACTGAAAATTGGAGTGGGTCGCCTCGCCTCAGTACCCCTCCCCCAGCCTCTGAATCCATGCCTGTAGACGAAACGCAGGTTTTGTTGTTGTTGTTGTTATGTTTTTTTGCACAATGCATTCCAATGATTTAGCCGGAAGTACACGCGACGGCGACGCCGCTTGGCGCACGATTTGCGCGATACGACGCCGATTTTGCGAATTGCTTTAGCGAGAACTCGAGGCGCGTGCCTAGGGGAGGAAAGGAGGGAAGGAGGGGGGG